GTGGGTGCCCATATGATGAAAGGGAGAAAAGAAAAAGAAGCTCTGATGTGGACTTTGGTTGCTGATTTAATTTTTATTATTGTTAATATAGATATTTAAACAAGTTATATATTTTTTAATTAATTTTATAAATTTTAAAATTAATAACTATATAAATTTATAATAATTTTAAAAATTTATAAGATTTGAATTAATAATTTCTAAATAATAAATTTAAGGTCTAATTATTGTAGTTATACCCCTTAAAATTTAAGTTTTTTATAATTTAGTTTTATTTTTTTTTATGATTCAAGTTTTTTTTTTTTTAATTCTTTCATTTTTTTTTTTTTCAATTTTATCATTTAATATTAAATTAATTAAAAATTTAAATTTATGTTATTATATTTTATTTTTATAGCGTTGTCATGTCTCATAACTTAGATCACGAGTTTTATGAGTTAGCCAAATTGACTAAAGTTTTTTTATATTTTTTAAAAATTTAACATGTTATTTTAATTTTATTTTTTAACATTGAGTTAATTGTAAATTTGACTTAATAATATTTTTTTTCTATAGAGTTATCCTGATTTGGTAATCTAGGTTTAATAAATTAATTTGAGTTGACTAAAAATATTTTTTCAATTGATTTTTTCTTTAATTTAATCATTTAATATTAGATTGATAATGAGTTATGCTTTATAATTTTTTTATTTAATCTTTATAGGGTTATATTATCTCATGACAAAGGTCATAGATTAACTCAACTACCTCAGTTTTTTTAATTTATGTTTTTTTAATTTTATTAATTTATATTGAATTGATTGAGAATTATCTTCATAATTTATTTTGATTTGCTTTTTATAAAATTATTCTGAACTCATGAATTGGATCACAAGTTTGGTTGGTTAACTCGGATTAACTCAAGTGGTTTTTTTTGTGTCTTTTTTTAATTGATTTTTTTGTTAATTTTATTATTTTATATTGAATTTATCAAGAACTAAGCTTCATAATTTTTTTTTAATTTTTTTATGCAATTATACTGATCTTGTAATTAATGTTTAACAGGTTAACTCGAGTATACTCTTTCTACAAAATTATTAGAATATGATCTAGGTTAAAAATATAACAGATTAACTTAAATCGATCTGAGTAAATCGAAGTTGATCCGAATAAATATAATATATTATCGTCTTGATATTAGTTGATTTTTTTAATTAAATTGTATTTTTATTGATAGTTCAGACTTCATGTCTCATAACTTAGATCACGAGTTTTATAAGTTAGCCAAATTGATTAAAGTTTTTTTATATTTTTTTAAAATTTAACATGTTATTTTAATTTCATTTTTTAACATTGAGTTAATTGTAAATTTGACTTAATAATATTTTTTTTCTATAGAGTTATCCTGATTTGGTAATCTAGGTTTAATAAATTAATTTGAGTTGACTAAAAATATTTTTTTAATTGATTTTTTCTTTAATTTAATCATTTAATATTAGATTGATAATGAGTTATGCTTTATAATTTTTTTATTTAATCTTTATAGGGTTATATTATCTCATGACAAAGGTCATAGATTAACTCAACTACCTCAGTTTTTTTAATTTATGTTTTTTTAATTTTATTATTTTATATTGAGTTGATTGAGAATTATCTTCATAATTTATTTTGATTTGCTTTTTATAAAATTATTCTGAACTCATGAATTGGATCACAAGTTTGGTTGGTTAACTCGGATTAACTCAAGTGGTTTTTCTGTGTCTTTTTTTAATTGGTTTTTTTGTTAATTTCATTATTTTATATTGAATTTATCAAGAACTAAGCTTCATAATTTTTTTTTAATTTTTTTATGCAATTATACTGATCTTGTAATTAATGTTTAACAGGTTAACTCGAGTATACTCTTTCTACAAAATTATTAGGGTATGATCTAGGTTAAAAATATGACATGTTAACTTAAATCAATCTGAGTAAATTCAAGTTGATTAGAATAAATATAATATATTATTATCTTGTTATTAGTTGATTTTTTTAATTAAATTATATTTTTATTGATAGTTCAGAGTTTATATCTATAAAACCACTATATTAAGTTAAACTTTACATAATTTTTTTATAAAACATATGTTACCAATATTCAAGTATTTTTTAACATTGAATAAAAAATTTAATTGTACTCGTAACGCAACGCAGAGAAATATCTAGTCAATTACTAAATTTACTAGTATAAACATGAACCTTATGCGAGCTAAAGCCATCTAATGTGATAATAATTGATTAGTAAGAGAGTTAGATGGGAGATGTCTCGGAAAAGATGGGTCACGGCATTCAATGCTTGTAAAACAGTTCATATTGGACCTTTCTTAGAATCTGGAAAATGTAGCTTCTCCAGCTGTCAAGATTAACCAGCTTTCCTTGTCAAAGTAAATGAATCAGTTTATTGATGCACTATATATATATATATATATATATATAAAAAAAAACTGAGAAGTGACAAATATAGCTTTCACACGACAACTAATGTTATTTTGTCTAAACAACAAACTACAAGGAGATCCGGCATTTGTAAGAAATGGTGCCGAGATTGCTTCGTCATTTGTGATTATTTGAAGATTTATATATATGGTAAAATTGATAAGATTTATAATATATTATGTGCAAATATTTAGTTTCTTAATAATTTTAAATTTAAAGAATAATATCAAGGCATACCACCTCAACAAATAGTTCATATTTTTCTATGTTTATTTAAAAATATAGTTTATGCCAGTTTATAATACACACATAATTTTTATATTTATACAATAAACCCATAATAATTGATAATTCAACAATTTTACGTTGTTACAGGCATTTAGATTACAAGTCCTTAATCAATTTCTAAGCATACATCATGATTTAAACACCCAACTCATACAAGTCTATCAATTCCCATATTTCCATCTTCCTAAGCTTTTAACCCATGTCACCAATTTACTTCATATAAATTATCATCAAGATTCAAACACACTATCATCAAATTTACATATAACAACATTATCTAAAACATGTTAATTTTTTTCCCCAATTGGTTTTCAATTTTCTCAATTTAATCCTTAATCATGTCGTATTCAACACAATTAACTAATAATTTACACAAATTTGCACTTCTTCTATCAATTCACATAAGCCCTAAAATTTCCTATTTGGGGATTTTCAAGCCCCTATTAAAAAATTAACATGGAAGGTGCATTTAAATGAAAAGAAGTCCCTTACCACAACGAATTGACTAATTTTGATAAGCTTTTTGCCATCAATTCCAAAGATTTCTCTTCTGCTCTTTCAATTTATCACTTTCCAACCCCTCTTTCTCTGTAGTTTCTTTTTTTATATATATACTAATTTGGTTATGTTACTTGGGTAGAAATCATTCATTTCTCACTCTCCATGCCCTAAAATTTAAAGAGAAAATGAAGAATTGAAGGAGAGGAAGAACAAAAAATCATGTTTTCCCCCCTTTGCAAATCATTGACTTTATTAAATGGGTGTTTGGGATAATACTAACAATTACTTTTCAAAGTATTTTTTGCTTGTAAATATATTAAAATAATATTATTTTTTAAAAAATTCATTTTAATATCAACACATTAAAATAACATATTATTTTAATATCAACACATTAAAATAACGTAAAACCATAAAAAAATTTAAATTTTTTAAAAACTTCATTTTAAACTCCATCTTCAACTAGCATTAAGAGGAAGACTAATTTTCATTTATTTATGATAATGCCACTAGTTGTTAAGTCCCATTTGTTATTTCTTTTAAATCTTAGGCTATAGTTGTTAAGTCCCATTTGTTATTTCTTTCAAATCTTAGGCTATATTTATTTGTTGAAAAGTAGTTTTTTTTTTTATTTGTTGGAAAGTAGTTTTTTTTTTAAAAAAGTGATTTACTAAAAAGTGAATTACTTTTATATGTTTCATAGTATCATAAAAAATAAGTTAGAAAACACTTTTAAGTTTTTGGTTATGTTATGAAAAATAAACTGGAAAATAGTTTTGTAATGTTTTATTTTTTTCAAGTTTATTAAAAAAATAAACAAATCTTACAAATTAAAAAATTACATGATAAGAGAAAAATAAATAACAATCATAAACAAAGTTAATATAAAAATTAAATTAAATTAAAATTTAAGGGATGAAATTAAAAAAAAAGATTCAAACAAAATATACATTAATCAAAAGTTTGAAGATCATATTTGATACAATTAGTAAATAATATAATATTTTTAAATTTTTCACAACATCTGAAAAATATTTTTCCTCCCAAAATAAAAAAAATACTTTCTTAAAAATTAAACCAAATTTATTTATGATAGGAAAATATTTTTAATTAACTGACTTTTCTAATAGCAAACAAACACATAAAAATTTAAAAAATAATTTCTAAAAAACCTTTTCCAAACAAACAAACATAACTACAAATACTTTTACATATATATTTTTATTTTATTTGATCTAATTTTTATGCTTATTAACCAAGAGTTTTCATCTTTCATCATAAAAGTTTTAGATTTAATTTATTATTTTTTGGTTTATAATTATGTAATTTAACACGATGTCATAGGCGGCCGTTCACGATAAAACAATTATTCTCCATAAATAGGGTGCACAAAATGTCTACAACCTACTCTTTCACAATGTTGATTCATATATATAAACACAACACAACAATTTAGGAAACGACCAGAAGACACATTCACTTATATATATATATATTTTTTTTTTCTTTTTATACATTATTTTCCTCCATGCTCTATTAATTTAGACATAAAAAGGTATTATTTTTTATATAAGGGATTTGTGTTTGAATAAAACATGAATTATTAACCCAAACTCAACTAAATCTCTTTTCCGATAATGGCCTCAACTTGTCTGAAGTTTTCTTCAACTTAACCCTAAAAAAAAAAAAAAAAGGTAGAAGTGATGAAAATCCGATGGGATAGGATATTTTTCCGAATTAACTTTTCCTGAAACCCCATACGTGCGAGAAAAGAAATCTCTTGTTACTGCACCGACAAGTCTCGAACCCACATAGTTTCGGCTTCTTCGTAAAGAAGCTGGAAAAGAAAACCCCAAAGTACGCTACAACCAAATGACCGCCACTAAAATTAGTCAAAAAGCAAACAAAAGTATGTGGCTCTCAAATATCTCGCGTTAAGAACGTGATTTCTTTCTCTTTTTTTTTTTTGAAGAATTTTAGGACAAATTCTGAGGTGGGCTGTTGGAAATCCGAACCCTGCATCTCGTAACATTGGTTAACGAGATAAAAACATGGGAGAGAACAATTACGCTAAGGAATTGGATGTGGCTGTTCGAGTTGTTCACATGGCTTGTTCTCTTTGCCAGCGAGTTCAAGAGGGCTTGGTTTCTTCGATTGGTAATGACCATGTTAAGTCTAAAGATGATGAATCTCTTGTTACTGTTGCAGGTAATTCAATTTTTTATATTTCGTTTGTTTTTATCCCTAAGTTTTTACTGGATGTGCTTTGAATGAGGTTTTTGGCTTAATTGGGTGATCTGCATTTGTAATGTGGTGTTCGTAATTGTTTGTTTTGGTTGCTGAGCGAGAGAGGGATTGGGAAATGTTAGCATTGGAATTATTGAAATTTGAGTGATTGGAAATATTCATACTATGATATTTTCATGTGAAATGCAATTAATTCTTTGGTGTTCGTGTGCGCGCTTTAATTTTGCGGTGGAAATATTAACTTGTTTAAAGTTCTGCTGTTGCCCGTTTCAAAACTAAGAATGTTTTGTACTCCTGGTGAACAAGCTCAGGGTTGATTAATGGCGTGGTTACTAGTAATACGACGTCCATATTCTGTGCTTCTAAGAATTAGAACGTCTTAGGATGCTATGTGGAATTGGTTCATTGTTTATGTTTTCAAGCAGTGGGCTAAATGCTTGAAACCTGTTTCTTTAACCAAAAGAAAAAAAGAAAAAACAGAGAGTTTATTTGGCAATGTGTACCAAATAGAATTGCTCTTTTAATATTCCTTTGGTGTTGATAATTCAACAATTTATTTATGGGGCTTGATATTGTTTGGCGTACATAAGCACTTGTAGGCGTATTCATGCCAAAAGTTCTAGTCTCCAAGGTGTTATCTTTCTTAAGTCATTTTGTTTTCTTTTTTGTATATTTCACCATATACTAATTGACTAATTCTCTTGGTGCCACTGCTTGAGCAGATTGGAGTGTTCAAGCAACAGTTAGCTTGATGCTGTCAGAATCTTTTAGCAATCAAAAGGTGTCAATAGTTGCTGAAGAAGATGTTCAAACTCTCTCAAAGTCTGATTCAGTAGGTTTGCTAACAGCTGTTGTGAACACTGTGAACGAATGCTTAGCCGAAGCACCAAAATATGGTCTTCAGAGTCCCAAGGAAGCTCTTGGAACCTCACAAATTCTTGAGGCCATAAGCCGATGCAACTCAACTGGGGGACGCACTGGAAGACATTGGGTACTCGATCCTGTCGATGGAACATTAGGATTTGTGCGTGGGGAGCAATATGCTGTGGCTCTTGCATTGATAGAGGAGGGAAAAGTTCTGATTGGAGTGCTCGGGTGCCCTAATTACCCTCGGAAGAAAGAATGGCTAAATCATCATCATCAGTCCTATCAGAGCATGCCAAAAATATCTGATACTTCTGACACATGGGAAAAAGGATGCGTGCTATATGCACAGAGAGGCAGTGGTGAGGCATGGATGCAGCCGTTAATACATGGAAATAAGAAACATACGTGGTCAAATTCTGCACAAAGAGTTCAAGTTTCTGCAATTGATGACCCAGCACTGGCAACCTTCTGTGAACCAGTGGAGAAAGCCAACACAAACCATTCCTTCAGTGCTGGAGTTGCTCACAGCATGGGGCTTAAGTGTGTTGTATTTCTTTTACTTTTCCCTACATGTTTAGAGTTTAAACTATTCTTCCCACTGCATGGTTGAAATGGTTGCTTGGCAGATGCTAACTTCGACTGACCAAGAAATGAAAAAATGAAAGTTTTTAAGGCCTAGAGTTTTAAATGACTTGTTTCTTCTTTGATGCTCAATCGGAGAGGCATGGTAGTAAAGTTTCTTTCTTTGAGTTCCTTGATGAATTTTAGAAGAAGGATTTCTCACTGAAAGCATTAGCACAAGGGGTAGACAAGAGGTAGACTATATCTTACAATAACTTCTATAGCTTAATGTTTCAATGTTCATATAGTAGTTTGGTAACAATGACTGCGAACCTGATGAATGTCTTAACAATTTTAGCAGGATTGTGGAAAAAAACTCGGTCTTCTAAGTTGTCTAAATTCCTGGTTTTAAGATATTAGAGGACAAACAGAATATAACTGCCTCAAAGGAGCAAATATAGTTAAGTTACCTTGTATTGTTTTGAATTGCCAAAACAAATGCTTTATGCGTACAATCAAGCATGATTTATGTCATATCATGCTAAAGCTTTTATTAGTGGAAAGAAAGCATCTGCTCTCCTTGTTTCTCCTTTCAAGTCATTTATTTGATTTTCAGTTGCTTTTCCTTTTAGTTCATTGCAAAGTTTTTAGAGCGAGAGCTTGCCTACTTCCTTGGTTGCATTTACATCCATGTGGGTAGGTTTCACAAGTAGCAGGGTTCCTGTTCTGTTTTGGTCCTCATATATTCCTTTCACACTCTTGATGACAGAAAACAGCCCTTGCGTGTCCATAGCATGGTGAAATATGCAGCCATAGCTCAAGGTGATGCTGAGATCTTTATGAAATTTGCTCAGTCAGGGTACAAAGAGAAGATATGGGATCATGCTGCTGGGGTTATCATTGTAGAAGAGGCTGGTGGTGTGGTAACTGATGCTGGAGGCCACCCCCTGGACTTCTCAAGGGGTTTGTACTTAGAAGGTCTTGATAGGGGCATAGTTGCTTGCTCTGGGACCACCTTGCATGAGAAGCTCATTGGAGCTGTTTATGCTAGCTGGGAGTCTTCGAATCTCTGAAGCCTTCTGAATATTCATGATATTCTGATGCAACATGATTTACATGCTCTTGCAAGGGTATGACCTTCTTTGCTGTTAGTATTTTTCCCTGTCATGATCTCTTTTAAATTTAATTTTCTAACATGACTTGGAGACAACTGAACAAACTGTTGGAGTAAAAATCAGATGTCATAAAATTATAATTTGGCTGCAGTAGATTATGTTGATGCAAACATGAAGGTATTAGAATATGTTTGGTGAAACACAGGTTGGAGAGAATGTTGACAGTTACCTTCTCAAGTCAAATTGCACTTGATTAATTTTCTAACAGATATGAGATTACTGCAATTGGTTCTCAGAATGAGGGATTAAGTTTTTTCTTTTTTTTTAAAAAAAAAAGGAAGAAAGAAAGAAAGAAGGAAATCTTCCAGTGTGATGTGTCAAATTGCAGCCGAGTTGCCATGAAACAGTTTTCTAGCCACATTGATTTCATTGATTTTCCCCTTTAAGTTTTGAGGTTAAGAGCCTCTTTAATATTATAATATTATGATAGCGGTTATATTATAATATTTTGAGGTTAAGAGCCTCTTTAATATTATGATAGCGGTTGCTTTTTAAAGTATTTTTTGTTTTGAAATGTTTTGAAATAATATTTTTTTATTTTTTAAAATTTATTTTTAACTTTAACATATTAAAATGATCTAAAAACATAAAAAATATTAATTTGAAAAAAAAAGTCAAATTTTTGTAAATGTGCTTTCCAATGGGGCCTAAATCTAAATATGAAAAGAATTCAGAATCCTTTATGCTCATCTCACGTACAGTTGTTGTTCTTGAAATCTTGAACCTTTCAGGGTAAGTAAATCAGTTTAACATATGTTGTTGAAATTTTGAACGTATTTCAGGGAATGTAACTCAGTTTCTGTCACTTTTTCTGATAAAGGTTCCTGTGTGTATATACTATATCATCGCCGAGACAGTGTTTTTATACTATGCTGTCAGAGCGAAGCAACTTCGAGCATCAGCTTGGGGATTGGGGATCGAAGCTGCTCATCCATGTTTTGTATAATGATAATTAGCTTTTCACAACTTTATTCATATAGAAATGTTCAATATATCATCAGCGGTATCTCTACTATGATGATTTAGAGCTGATAGACATTTGGCACATTTTAACTTACATTTCAATGCAGAGCTGAGTGCTCCTGCATCACTTCATGAATTTTTCCAATTGAGAAAATCCAATATTTAAATATGTGACTGTCTTGCAAGCTTACCGACTAAAATGTATGTTTTGCCCGTTGCTGATGTTTATACAAGCCTGTTTTTCTTACTCCCCCCTTAATCACCTGTGGTTCTAGGCAATTTCCTGTGCCTCCTGCTAGACTGCGGTTGCAATATATTCTTTTGTGAAAGAAAGTAAACAGTTTGATTGCGAGACCTAGATGAACTTGCACAAGTTGAAAATAGGCATCTATAACAATAGTTGGATTATGGTTGTATCACCCTGCTTGGAATAAGCTCTTTGATGAATAAACATCCAAGAGGTGTATACAATTACATCAAGGTTATCCAATCTTTATGTGCCATGAGTTGCATTTTCCAGCCCTCAAATATTAAAATTCAAACTGCAACATTCTCATTTTTTAGAAATCCAGATCATGATACACAATGTACTTGGTGTTAATTGTGCAACACTGTAGCTGCTAGTTCGGGTTCAGGACTGACCTAAAAGAGTGTCTGGATTATCGAGTCAATCAAAACACTATTATCTCGTTCTTTATTTTTTAAAAATTTTTCCATGCTAACTTGGTCAGGTTTGATCGGGTCATTAAAATTCAACAAGATCAATCTTGCTCTTTTTTTTTTTTTTTTGCAATTTTAAAAACAAACGATACAGCAGAGTAATAGAAGTTCAAGAATTAGTTGAAAGTAAAAAGCCATAGATTGTAAGGTAAAGCTTGTGAGATGTTTTTCAGTATTATGTGATATAAAAGCGTTTTAACAAAGTATATTTCTGAAGTTTTTTTTTTTACCAGAACTACAGTGTCAAACCTCCAGTAATCCTAAATAATAATGCCATAGTTGTCCCAAAGGAAGCCTTCTCGTTCCTCACAAATCACAATCCACTGCAAGATACGGATTGAGATTGTGTTCAGTCAGCTATAATGTTTTTTTATTAACTATTTTACATGTTTCTACGTATTTTAAAATATCATTGTTTGACAAATTCCCATCTAACTTTTTAGAATTTTTAGACAGAGCCTGTCGAAGACTAGCTTCTGCCAAAGTCAAAGTTAGGTTTGATGTATAGAAGATGGGTTAGGCAGCTCTTGGTTTAGGAAACCAAGCACCCGAAATACCATCCAAAGTCTTGACTATGGGACGATGATGCTCCTCTCTCTGAACCTTGTCACGGTGGTCCCTGTTGGCTATGGCATTCGGAAAAAACTAGTAAGCGCTGCCGTGAGAAAGTTTTGTTATTTAACAACCATGTCATACGGCAACTGGCAAGGGGAGTCGATATTAATTCTTTCAACCTCCAAACACGACGGGAGATTTGGTGCGATTTCCACAACTATTGTGGACCTTTTCTTTTGTAGGGCTTGAAATAAGTATCAAGGCAAAGTCTAAATATACCTTCAATAAATTAATATAGTAATCTTGATTTTATATCAATTTCATCATTATATTATATTATATTATAAAGCAAACATAGATAATATCCTAACCATCCAATAACCAAACCCATCATTAAACTTTTGACATAATATTATTGTATTTAATACAATCCTTATACATAGCTTATGCAAGACAATTTCATCAATTTTTATCATATCATAAATAAATATGTTAGTGTCTTCACAGAAGAAATTACGTGGCATAACAAGAATGTCTTTCAAAACACGTACATATTTAAACCATTTTAATCAACTTAATGTTATTAATAAACTTTTATTTTCTTCGGTCCTTTATTTTTTGTTCATCTAAAAGAACTATTTTAAGAGCTGAAAAATCATTATGATATAACCATGAGAATTATTATGAATCAATGAAAGGAAAATTCAAAATAAAAAAAATCAATGAAAAGATTCTTTTTGAAATAAGGATTATATATAGAGGATACTAGTTTATATTCATCAGTAAACATTATATTCATCCCTTATTATTAGTCTCAATACTCCATGACAATATAATATAATTAATAATTATATATAATATAAAAAAAGCAAACATTAATATATACTAGTGAAAATCAATCATATAAAAAAGAAAACATTAATATATACTAGTGAAAATCAATACTTCCAAAAAAAGAAGAAGAAAAAATCAATTTGTGCAACGGGTAGTGGTGTGCTCTCACTCTCTTTGTAGATCAATACGAGTGATTTACTCTAATTTTAATAAATAAAATTAATATATATATATATTTCATCGATGTTGTTAAGGTTGGAAAATCCATGATTTGAATTAATATTATAAAGTAAAACCAGATCCATGAGGATATTGAGTCGAAGCACCATGTGAATCTTCATGAGACTCGAGAGCATGAATTCTTGCAACTATATTGGATGTCGTTTGTACTACTTGATAGATGGTTGGCAGGGAATAGTTTAATTGATATTACTAGTATATTTGAGCCCACATTATCTTTAAAACTTAGAGCATGTAAAATAGTAAATTAGAATTTCTTGTATTATTAAACGTAAAAAGATTCTAAGATCACGTTGTAGTGATTTATATGATATCTTGTGTCTTTCTCTTGGATAAAAATATATATAGTATATGACATTGACCTTCCCCGGTTTATGAACCCACTGTAATGATCTAAATTAAGTTGTGGGTTCGATCGAGAGCTGTGCCGACACCACACAGTGTTTAGGGCTACTGTTCTTCCAAGAAGAATATCAACATGGTCTTTTGTTCAAGAAGAAATACTTGCTTATGGAAGTCAGTGAGGTAGAAGAAGGTAGATTGCGTGGGAGAAATAAACGATGTTGCTTTTGGAAATCAGTGAGGTAAAACAAGGTAGATTGCGTGGGAGAAATCAGTGAGGTTTATTGTTGCCATTAATGCTGGAATGATTTTAATATATTAATATTAAAATAAAAAAAATTCTATTATTTTAATATATTTATGAGTAAGTGATCATCCTTGAAAATAAGGCAGGGGAGACAAATTTACACCCGAAGGCAAATTTCCTTACTCTCGATTTTAAAATCACAATATTATCAAGTTCTGTTAGTAGATGGGAGTCTTTGTTTTGGAAATTTTTACGGCAAGAATCCCAAATATAATAATTTCCTATTATTAATTTTATTAATCATGATCATGATCATTATTAATATTTTTATATAATGGTGGTGTTTTATTAATTTCCTCTCCTCTAATTAACCTTTTTTCCTGTAACATGATGATTCAACAAAACATCATTTTGTTGAATGAATTTAACTTTTTATTTTTTTTATGAGTAACAACATTTAAAATAGATTTTTTTTATTAATATAAATATTTAAACTAGTTTTCACGTAACTCAATTGATTTTATGAATTTTAAATTTAATAATTATATAAATTTTTAGTAATTTAAAAAAAAATTAAACTTATAATTATTAAAAAATAAATTTAAAATTTAATTAATTAAGCTATATCTTAATATTAATTCTAAACAGATTTTAAACAAAGCAGACAATGTTTAAAGTCGAATATGAGATCTTGGTATTGTTCCACCACTTCACTTCAATTTGAAAAGAAGTCAATGAACTATTAATGAATTAGTTGAACTTATTGGTCCCATTCGTATTACCGCTACCCTCCTCTTGCGATGCATTATTGTAGCAATAAGCCATTGTCAGATGCTATATGCTACATATATAGTACCCTTGTAGGAGCAAAATTATTGCAATACGTAGATGTTAATTAGCTTTTTTAATGCTTTTCATAACCTTACAGGAGATTTGTTCAGTTCCAGCCATGCCTAGGGCCGGTGATAGGGTGCTCCCACGACCCCTTGTTTTAGTTTTTTCTTGGACGAGATTTCAATCATGAACATGGATCAAAAGCCTGAATTTTATGATAAATAGTTATATAGCCTATAAGATTTAGAGATTTCCAAGAAATGTTGAATTGGTAAGATTGACGTTTACGTGTTACAGCTCTCATTCTAGAGGGATTTTTTTAAAAAAATATGATATTTTATAAAACTTTCAATAGTAATCTGGATCTCTCACGAAAATAATTTAGACATATCTATTTATATTACTTTTTTTTTATATCTAAAATCATTCATAAAAAAATAATTCTTAATTAAAACATACATAACCGATAGAACTCATTTAGTATTAGAATTTTTAAATATTAAACTATTAATTAAATTAAAAGTTTCAAACTCTATATATATAAAAAATTCAAATACAATAAGACAAAGAAAAACAATTACACATAATGAGTTCCATCATTCCCGATATCTTATTATCATGAAACTTTAACCCCATAAATTTTTTTTTCAAATTTTGAAGTTAAAATTTTAGTTTTATCAAATAATTAGATTAAAAGTTATATTTATTTTATGATATGTAGTTATATAGCCTATAAGATTTAGAGATTTCCTAGAAATGTTGAACTGGTAAGATTGACATTAATGTGTTACAGCTCTAATATTCTAGAGGAATTTGAGAAATTTATTTGCTGGGAATTGATATTACTGTTTATTTTAAGGGTTATTTTAATCCTATATTTATTTTAGGATTTATTTTTGTTTTTTTTTAATTTTACCTTTTATATTGAATTATTTAATAATTAAAATTTTGACTTATTTTTAATATAATTATTTTAATATCACAATTAAGTTATAAATTTAATATGCTAACCGGAATAGATTTAGATTGATTGAGTGGAAGAATGAATGATAAAGGGAACTGAAGAAAGGGTAATAACGTGAATATGAAGCAAGAGAAGCATATGAAATTTCATCTCCGGCAACAAAAGCGTCTGATAAGAATGAGGAACAAAAGGTAGAGTTATTGAATTAATTCCAAATGAAAAGTCATATAGATAATTATTGGTAGGGTAGAGTTTTGATATTTGATAATAGATGCCATCTTTTAAATTTGTAACTGTAATGAAAAATACGTTTCTGGTCCTTAATTTAAGATCTATGATTGTTCATATAAAAAACATGAAGATGTATATTAATTTAATTATAACCTTTAACAAGTAGTGGTTCTTCATTGAAAAAAAAAAAGGGAGGGGGAATGCATGATTTGTAAACAATTAATATCAATTTAAAAATGTGATTAAAACACAATCTTTTTTTAAAATATGTAATAAAAAGTCATAGTGATAACTATTTGCTAGACAAAATTG